TGGAGACAGGAACTTCTGACCAGCCCTCTGGGATCTTGAATGTGTACGGTGGAATCTCGCTCCAGCCCACGCCATGCCCTCCAGATTTGCCTGGCGGCCTCTTATAAGTGTAGAAACCCTGGGCATCTGGCGATGCGGACACACCTGCAAGGCAAGAGAAACAAGTTTGGAGTGCACAACATTTGAAAGATCAAACCTCTGAACTGCCAGGCACAGTTTATGTTTTGCTGTTATCCTGCTTCCATTGATTAAGATACAGTTACCGAAACGGGGTGCTGCATGTAGTCCTTTTGGTACAGTCATGGGAGCAAAATTCTGATGCGCAAATGCTTGGACGCAGACTTGATGAACACGCCACTTAAGCAACGGATACAAAAGAGGCTAGAACCAGGAACGCTGGTTTTCATTCTTTATGCGCCCCACGCTGGAACTACCTGCATTGGCAGAAATGCAGATCAAAATTCCGATTCCAGCCCCCACACTCAAAATGGAAACTGCTTCATTAAGCCCCTCGGAAATCAGTTCGTGGCAATTTTTCGCCGTTCCCCCCCGGTCTTCCATGGAATTTTCTTTTTTCATGCCATCCATCCACCCCTCATCTCTTTCACGTACCCACTAGCGGAGTAGATATCCCGAGAGTACATTTCCCTCCCACAGTTGAGAAAAGGCGTCAAGGCGGTGCCTCGAGCAGCTGGATTTTATGAGAACACCGGCGACAAATAGAAAGGCCACCCAATGAATCAACAAGACCAAAAATCCGCGCCAAGCGCACCCGGAATCCTGCCAGCAGTGTAACCCTGCACGGCCTCCGCGCGTCGAGCGTCCAGAGCGGCAGCAAGGCCCACAGTCAGCGCCGAGGCCGCCATGAGCTCCCTTCGCGACCAGCGCACGCCCTCATCGCCAGCAGTCTCCTCGCCGTCCCTACTCGCGCAAACCCTGCCCCATCGCTGAGTGCGGACGGGGCGGCCCGGACAGCCGGGCGCAGCGCGCGCTGCCGGCCTCTGAACGCCACCGACGGCTTTGACGAGGCTAGGCGGCTGCGAGGGCTGAAGGCCCGCTGGCATTGGGCGCTCCGAGGTCCCCGGGAACTCGTGCTCGCCGTGAGCTTGGCTGCCACCCACCGCACGGCGCGCGCTGAAGGGCGTTGCCACCCCGCGCTAAGTACTGGGACGAATGCAGCAGCAGCGGGCTCGACGGCGTGGTGGCCGAAATCCTGCAAAATCTCCAACTGCAGGTTTGTCAGCCGCATTGGCGCAGTCCGGCCATCGGGACCGCGCATCTGAGACACATGTGTCTGGGGAAGCACTGCCAGACTTTCCAGGAGGTTATCTCATTTCGCTCTGCCATAACCTCCCAAAAATTAGTTATGAGGGAGCATGACCTGGGCCTCCGCAGGAGTTGGTACCCAGATTTGAGTTTTTGGCCATGTCTGCGTCTGGTTGAAATTGCAGTGGTGGGTTGGTGAGGAGAACTCCACGTCCGAGGCCGGGGAGTGGGGCGGGCAATGCTGTATTTTGGGGGCATGAACCACGCCGACATCCTTTTCAGGTGCCCGTGGTAATCAGTCACGATATGCCCAAAACGCTGGAGTCTGTGCAACAAAAGCCGTAGACAATTCGTCGTTCCGCTCAGGGCATTTTTCAGCTTGAGTGAGGTTTCAATTTTCAGATATTATTGTGAGCCGAAGCAGTTCTAGCAGCTGGAGAGACCGAACTCAGAGCTGAGCACACAACTCACTCAGTCTGGCTTCACTTTCAATGTTGCGAGTGTTTTGAGGCGCTGAATGTCAGAGGCCTGACAGTAACCCGCTGTAAAGATCTGTGCCCGGGCATGGCACGACCCTTCGGGGTTGGCACAGCAGAATTCAACATGCGGAAAACACCGTATATCGATTCACCGCGTCGAAATGCGATTGAAATCGCCACACACTGGACGCTGGGCTTATCCCTTGGCAGGGAACCACCCGCCCGACCGTCAGGTCCCAACCTCACTTCGTGAGGAGGCCCGTTCAGGTGCTCCGGTTGTAAGCAAGAACGCTCTTACAGACCGGGGGCGGCTACAATGCGCACCCCCGCCACTTTATACATTACCGCGGTCAGGTTCATACGACAAAATGAAAGGTCCACAAAAAGGTCCACCTAAGGATCCAGATCCTTCCTGTTGCGGCCCCGTCGGCGGCCGCTGGTTTCCGGAGGCGTGGGGGTCGCCCTGCCCTGCGGCTCGGCTGTTGGAGGTCAGCCGGCTCTCTCCACCTCGGACGGTGGGCGTATCCGGGGCAGTCGAATCGGCGGTCGCGCGGTGGGCCCAATGCTCGACGGGGATCGATCCCCGGGGCTTGCTGTCGGCGAGAGGTGGCGGCGCAGCGAGGCGGTGGTTCGCTGGCTCGCGGGAGGCCAGAGAGTGGGCCAAAGGATGTTACAACGATTCAATGCATGCGCGCGCACATATTGCATGCGCGATGCCCGATCGCGGGTCCATCGCGGTCACATCATGACAAGACAAGACAAGTGCGCGTCCAGGCACATCGTCACCATTCACCGTTCACCTACGATCGACCTAATGTCCTCTAATTCCAAGCATCTAACACCCGACCCCCTGGCCCCAAGTACTACGACTTCAGGAGGCCATATCTTCGTCAATTCTTAACGGATTCGGGCGTTTAAAAGCTCGTTGGAACCAAGAAGCTCTTAATAACACTCACAAAAGGTCGATTTGGCCAATTACGTAATCCTACTGCAGAAAATGTCAAATAACTGCCTTACCCCAAGTAGCCACGTCACATTACTCCCCCCTTGGGGTAACTTTCGCCCCCGAAAGCACACTATCCCATACTAGTGTCTTCCTCGGGCTTGTCCCTCTTGATCATCTTCTGGAGCTCCCTGGCGTAGGTGAAATTTCCTGCCGGTATCCAGGAGGCATCGTCAATACTCCACCCTGTCCATAACACCAAAAACTCCTTATGCCTCCTGCCACTGGGTCCTGCCCATCTCCATCGCAGCAGCTTCTCTACTTTGTATGGTTCATCAGCCTCTGGCTCAATCTCGGCATCTTTTGAATCCTGTGGGGATGACCATCTGGACGATCTGAATGGTCTAAGCAAACTAGTGTGAAAGACGTTGTGAATCCTCCACCCCGCTGGTAGCTTCAATTCGTAGGCCACTGATCCCACCTGACGGACCATAGCAAAAGGTCCTACGAACCGTCGCTTCAGTTTGCGAATAGGTGCATTCTTCAACTGTAAGTGCTCGGTACTGAGTAGCACCTGTTCCCCACTATGAAACCTCTGTTCTCTGCGCCGCTGATCGGCCTGATGCTTTTGCCTCTGCTGAGCCTGATGAACTGACTGCATCGCCATTCTGAATGTCTTCTTCATTCGGTTGACAAAGACGTTGACACCTTCAATGTTGGTCTGGTCCACATCCTTAATTAGGTCCAACGGGGTCACTGGCTCAAAGCCGTAGTTCAGAAAGAAAGGCGTGTACCCCGTGGATGGCGATGCGCTGCTGTTGATCACGAACTCCACCATGGGCAAGTATTTTTCCCAGTGAGTGACTTCCTGACTGCCATGGATTGTACACCTGAGTACTTGCTCCACCACCCTATTGGCTGCCTCTGTCTGTCCGTCTGTCTGGGGGTAATGAGCGCTGGACATCCTCAGCTTGCTACCCAAATCTTCCAGAATTCTTGCCAGAACTTTGACACAAATCGTGGATCTCGGTCACTGACGATCGATCTGGGGATCCCGTGAAGTCGTCCAATCTGCTCCCAGTAGACTCGAGCTGTCTCAGCAGCAGTAATGTCTGCTGGACTGGTACTAAGTGTACCATCTTGGTAGCTCGGTCTACCACTGTGAGAATCCCATCATTTTTCCTTTCACTGACCGGTAGACCCATGATGAAGTTGAGGCTGACATCACTCCATTTTTCCTCTGGAAGTTGCAAAGGCTGAAGGAGTCCTGCTGGCAACTTGTGGACACTCTTCTCTGACTGGCAGACCTCACATCCCAGCACAAAGTCTCTTACATCCACTGTGTGAACTGGCCAGTAGAAATTCTGCTGTAGTTTCTTGAGTGTCTTGTGGTAACCAAGATGTCCCGCATATGGTACGGTATGTATCTCTGCCATAATCTTCTTGCAGGCGTCCTCCACATCTGGCACCACCAATCTCCAAGGTTGCCGGTCCTCGGTGTTGTCCTTCAACTTGATTTCAATGAATCCATGGTTCAATCGGTAATCACGATTCCCGATCCTGGTGACTCGTCCTTGGGCAAATTCCAATTGGTTCAAAACTTCTGCCCATCTGCTGTCTTGCTTGTAGCCCTCTTTTATAGAGTTCCTCAAGTCTTCCTCCAGAGTAATCCTGGTGTTGGTCACCAATAAAGAATGTAAAGAATTTTGTTCCCCACTTGCAGCCACCACTGCACCCTCAGGACTGGATTTTTTAAATATTTCGTCCAGTTTCTTCTGAATATCGTTTTCCCCACTGTCACCCTCATGAAGACGAAGACGCTGGACCAATGACTCCTCTTCTGCACGCACATCTGCCATGCATCTCAACTCCTGAATACTCCTGCGCATCAGAAAATCTGCAGGGTTGTCCTTTCCTGGTATATGGACAATATCGCAATCGTAGCCCTGCAGAACCTGCACCCATTTCCACACCCTCCTGTTCACTGCAGGCTGGTTGGGCAGGTTTTTTAAGGAGTCATGATCTGTCTGAATGACGAAGTGGCGGCTGGCCAAATAGTGCCGCCATTTCCCAACAGCCCAAGTGATGCCCAGCAATTCTCGTTCATATGCACTGTACCGGGTCTCGGCTGGGTTGAGCTTCCTACTCTCATAGCAAACGGGTTGCAGCCCGTTGCCAAAGTCCTGTTGTAGTATACCACCCACTAAAACGCCTGATGCATCTGTGGTAACCACAAACTCCCGGTCGAAGTCCGGTAACTGCAAAACTGGCGCAGTCACCATGGCTGTCTTCAAACGATTGAATGATTTTTCTGCTTCGTCACTCCAAACAAAGGTCCTGTCCTTCTTCGTCAAATCCGTCATGGGCGCTGCCAGTTCGCTGAACCACCGTATGAACTTGCGATAAAAACTGCACAGCCCCAAAAATGAACGGACGTCGGTGACATTTTCCGGTGTCGGCCAATTCAAAATCGCTTGGACCTTTGATAGCGAAGGTTTGATCCCCTCAGCCCCCACGTCAAAGCCCAAGTACTCCACCTCGGTTCTGAAGAAGTCACACTTCTTTAATCTCCCAAACAACTTCTCCGACCGTAGGCGGGTCAGAACTTCCCTGATGTGTTGTATGTGTTCCTCCTTTGTCCGGCTGTAGATCAAAATATCATCAAGGAACACTAGCACGAACTGGTCCAAGCCTTCCCTTAAAATTGTATTCATGATCCTCTGGAAGGTCGCTGGTGCGTTGCACAGCCCGAATGGCATGACAAGATATTCAAAACTGCCATATCGACTCATGAAAGTTGTCTTGTGTACATCTGATTCTCTCACTCGGATCTGATGGTAACCCGAAGAGAGATCAATCTTCGTGAAATATTTTGCCCCGTGAAGTCGATCCAACATCTCTTCCACCTTTGGCAGTGGGTACCGATTCTTGACGGTTATTTTGTTCAAGGCCCTGTAATCGATGCACATCCTCCACTTGCCATCCTTTTTGGGTATGAAAAGGATGGGTGCACCGTACGGGTTAGAGCTCGGTCTGATCCACCCCTGTTCCAACAATGTGTCGATCTGCCGCCGCAGTTCATCCAACTCAGCCGTACTCAGCCTGTATGGGCTTTTGTGCGGCGGTGCCTCTCCTGGCAGCGTATCAATCTCGTGATCGACTATCCTCTTGGGTGGTG